TGGTACCCTTGACTCCAAGCCCACAGCCCCCTGCCAGTGCCCTTCACTCCTGACCCACATCCCCCTGGCTCTTGTGTCCCTCACTCTTGACCTGCAGCTGCCCCAGCCCTGCTGGTGCCCCTTCTGACCTGCAGCTCCCTGGCCCTGCTAGTGCCCCTTCACTCCCCACCAACAGTCCCCTGCCCCCTCTAGCCCTGCCAGAGGGAAATTCCAGCTGCCAAGGATACAGGTTCAGGGACCCAGTTCAACAGCCCCCTGCTGCCCCCAGCAGCACCTGATCCCCAGCTGCCACCTTTAGTTGCGGCAGCTGCCACCTCCCATTGTGAAGCGCAGGGCCCAGTTCCCCCAACCCCTGCAGGCAGCATGGTTGGAGCGGAGCCTGTGGTGCAGGTGGATGCAAGCTGGCGACTGGGCTTTGGACTCCCTACCATGCTATCCTCCCCTTGAGGACCTCTGCAGCCTAGCAGGAGAGACCCAGTGCAGGAGAGCAAAGCAGGGCAGGGAGGGGAGGCTTGGTGCTACTGCCAGGAGCCCCCTGCCAGCCCAACACGAAGAGGAGGCACAATTCTGTGCCAACACATCCGTTACTGCCAGGATAGCAGAGGAGGCCTTGCCATGGCAGCATGGAGCTCCTAGAAGCAACACCAATTCTCCCCACCCTGCTCTGCCTTGCTGCACCAGGTCCCCCCACCACTGGCCCACAAAGGCCCTGGGGTGAAGGACAGCTAGGTGGGAAGACCTGAGCCTGCAGCCATCTGCCCACATCTCCCTGTGCACAAGTCTGGGGGTCACATGCCCTATATGATCTGCCCCCCAAGGATTGTGCCCTGTAGTGGGGAGCCAGCCCCACTGCCACCCCCCAGATGCACTGCCTGTGGTTCCACCCCACTCCCTTCCTGGGCCCTACAGCTGCACATTCCTGTCCCAGCTCCAGGCACCACCTCAGCTGGGTAGCACTCCCAACCCCAGCCCTACTAATCTCCTTCCCTCCCTTACTATGGGGACCTTAATTCTCCCATCCTCCCAGACTTACCTGCGGGGAGCTGTCAAAGCTGCTGTCCAGGCTGCCTGGCTGCCACATGAATGTGTGTGCACACATGCACATGGTGCCCCCTGCCTGAGCAGCCTTCTGCTCCCTCCAGCCCCTTGCAGGCTAAAACTCTGCTGGGCTGCAAGAGGAAACTCGCATTTTCCTATGTTTTTCTCCTTTAAAGGAGAAAATCTGCATTTTTCTCCTTAAAAATCCATGTTTTTCTGCATTTTCCCATGGCAAACAGAAAACTTGGATCCCTGGTGATCAGGATCAGCCAGCATGGATTCATCAAGAGCAAGTCATGCCTGGCCATCCTGTTCTCCTATGATGAGGTAACAGGCTCTGGGTGGATGTGGGTGAGAGGGGAGTGGAAGCAGCAGATGTGATATACCTTGACTTGAGCAAAGCTTTTGTCAGTCTCCCGCAACATTCTCATTGATAAGCTGAGAAAAAAAAAACTAGCTGGAATTTCTGTAAGATGGATACACCACTGGTTAGATCATCCCGTTTGATGAGTAGTCATCAAGTGAGGTTCCCCAGGGGTTTGTCTTGGTTCCAGTATTGTTTAACATCTTCATTAGTGGTATGGACCAGTGGTACTCAACCTACAGCTCATAGCTAGATCCAGCCTATAGAGCCATTGCATCTGGCCTGCAGCTTGGAAAGAGCCTGGAAGAGAGAGACAACAATGATTAGGGGCCTGGGAAGCAAGGTGTGGCAGTGTACCTTTGGTGCTTGCCATTTTAAGGACTGAGGCAGGCAGCCAGCAGGTGCCTGATGAGGGCAGTCATTTTCAAACAAAGGCCAGCCAGGCAGAGTCAGCAGTTAGCTGCTTGCAGCCAAGGGAGCAGCAACATCCAGCTCCCTTGCGTCATGGAACACCTTGGAGGTAAGGTGAGGCTATGGGTACAGAGGAGGCCTCATTGGTCCTGGATGTGACCTGAAACTGTACCCTGCCAGGATAGGCCGGGGGGGACAGCCAGTGGCATGGCAGCCCCACTTAAATACCAGGACCATGAACTTCCCTGGTGTAAGGTGGGTCAAGGCACCTAAACCCCAGCCCCCACTGAGTGGGTCACTAAGAGGGAGGAGTGGGGGTAGACATGGCTGCAGCCACCTAAGCCTGCAGGATATCCCAGAGAAGAGGCAGTTGTGTGGCCTCAGAGAGGGGGTAGTTGTGTGGCCCTGAGAGAGCAGGGGTGTAGGTGGGCCCGCCCAGAGTAGAGTGCATCTTCACAACCTGAAGAACTGGGCATAATACAGAGTTGAGTAGGTCTGAAGGGATGGTCTGAAGGGCAGCCCCAGGGGGTGTGTTTGTTGAGTATGGCTGAAGGACTGCCAGAAGGGCAGCACACTGGCCAACCCCCACACGATCACGGTGTTGTGAATAAGAAGCCCAGTGAGGGGCTAGGGCAAATTTGGCCCTCCATTTGGTCAATTGGCTGTCACTACCCAGGTCAGGGCTGTGGGAAAGGCCCAAGAGACTGCATGTTGACAGACAACGCATGATTCGGATAAGCCTGATGGCCAGAAGGGTTACTCCAGGAGTGAGCAAGGCAGAGTGGAGGGGGCACAGTATGGTGCAGCAAGCAAGAGACCCTGTGAGAGGGGGGTGGTATGAGTGTGTGTGTGTAAGGTCTGGCAGAGGACTCATTTCAGTCCGTCTTGAGACCAGGAGTATGAGAACGTCTTGGATGCTTTCTGTGAGGCATGGTCCATGGTGTAGGGAAGGTACGGAGCTGTGGACAGTGCCCCTGGCATCTGGGCATGTAATGGGCAGCCTCCCGCATCTACCACCAATTTATTGTAATAGTAAAGTCGTGGCAGAAGAGACTGGGCAGACTGCCCTATGTAGATAGGTGGGCGGCCGACTTGAGACTGCCTCAAGCTTGCCCCCATCACACAAGGCTTATGAGGAAAGTCTGAAAGAACTAAGATTGTTTAGTCTGAAGAAAAGAAGATTGATGGGGGGATTTGATAAAACTCTTCGAATACCTGAAGGGCGATTATAGAGAGGCTAGATGTTTCTCCGTGGCTGGAGAGGACAGGACTAGGTACAATGGTTTCAAAATGCAGCAGAGGAAATTTAGATTAGAAATTAGAAGAACTCTCTCACTCTGAGAGTGGGTAAGCTTTGGAACAGCCTTCCTAGACATGTGGAACCTCATCCCTGGAAAATGTCAATGATAGGTTAGCTAGGAATGATCCTTGCCTTAAGCAGAGGGCTGGACTAGTTGACCCCATGAGATTCCACCTAGCCCTATTTTCCTAAGATGGAAAAATCTATAAGAGGATTTTTTTAATGTATAAAAATAGCAGTATGGGGTATAAATGTAGCAGTATGCAATATGGCAACTTACATTTTAGTTAAAAAATATGGCCCTATTCCTGCCAAGATTTAAACATGTTTTAATTTCATGCACTGGCAGCAGGACTCTTCCTGTGTAGAACTGAATTTGTATGTAAAACCACATTGTGTGTCACCCCACAAAATTAAATATTGATGGTGTTTAATTTTTTATATTTAAAAAGTTATAATTAGGTGCTTCAGCCTCAGCACTTTCATGCTTGTTGTTACGTACCATTGTTATGATGATATTTCAGGGTCTAGCTCAGAATGAGCTGCTAAAACCATATGTGATCTTTAGCGTATAGAATAATGTTAAAGGTGTCATGATGATTGTAAGATATCCTGTTTTTGAGGATATCATTCTTTGGGCAGAGTGCCTGTAGAGCCTTATTTTTGCCAAGAGTTTTATTTTGGAGCCTGCAGGATAGTATTTTAAACCAGAAGATGAGGACACTTGACTCCTCTGTGTACATTTAAAAGAGTTGTAAATGATGACTGTGATATAAAGAAATCTCATGTCCCCATTACTTTATGGTGGATGATTCAATGCTGTGTCCATTTGATAAATTAACTTATAGTATAAATGTCTCTATTTCTGTCAGGTTTTTTGCTTTCCTTGTCCTCTGACCCACTTTTCCCTCCCCAAATTCAGTTATTTTACTGACATGATAAAGTATTCATATGTTGCCAAAGTCAATACATCCAAGTCTCTTGCTTAATCTCTTCTTCCCTCTTTGCTGAAGAGCAGATATAGGACACTGCTGTTCATTCTGTCATGAAGCAAAATGTTGCCAGTATTGGCTATGACTTAAGTAATATCAGCCAGCTACATAGGGCCATGAGTTTTCTTCCTACCCTGGTGCACTGAGCTGTAAGCCGACTTTTACCTATCCTAAAGAGTAAGTGAAAGGGGAGCAAAAGTGTTGCTGTTCAGCTACAAGGCATGTAATTGGCAGTAGCAAGTAACAACTTCCTGCTGCTAAAAATATTTTACTTTATTTCATTTCACTAGCATTAGCAAGTCAGCAGTCTATTCTGAAAAACAGGACTTTAAATGGCACATGAAAACTCTGCTGTTTGAAATAGGAACTGAAAAACATTTTCCCTGCTGCCCAAGGCCTTCTAATTATTACAAATTAAATTGAAACAGGTGTGCTCTGAAGCAGCTGAGCTAACATTGCCTTAGTGGAACCATAATTACAATATGTGACAAGTAAAGTCTTAACATTGTAATAATGGTTGTCATTTTTTGTTTCTGTACCATTTTCTGCTTTTATTAAAGTTTCTAGCATGGGAGTACATTAAGCACAAGCATTTGGTGGTAAGTCATTCTGGCAACAGGTGCCATGGGACAGGGAAAGATTGCAGACTATGCTGGCATTATGGCTTTGTAATGAGATCAGGAAAGAATTGAAACCATGCTTCATAATCTCAACAGAATCCTTTGGATCTCTCTGTAAAAACATAGTGGATCTGGAGTTCTATTTGGTCCCCTTTGAAGGGTCAAGGACCAGATGTGAAGGTCAGATCAGATCTGAATTTCATCTTCTTATAGATGTAGCCTGGATACAGGATATGTGATCATCTCTACTCGTTAATCTTCCTCACAGCTATGAAGTAAGCAAATATTTTTCCAACTCTTGAAATACATGTAAGTTATACCACGTGTACATGTTTCTCTGATAATCATCATATATACTCTAAGACCAGGGGCAGAAGTTATGCATAAACCAGTTTAAGTAATCAGAAACTGGTTTACACCTGTAACAAAACAGAAACTCAGTGCACAAAGCCAGCTTCAAAATGTATGAAACTGGTTTAAGATAAACCTGGTTGAGTGTAGTATCAGACTTAACTGACTTGGGTCAAACTGGTTTATGAAACTTCTGTCCCAGACCTCTTCCTGGTTCAAGTTAAATCACAGTCCCCAGCATTCCAACATGCTTTGCAGCCCTGGGCTAGGCTGTGCTGTCTGCTCCAGCACAGAAGGGTTGGGGGGGAGACAGGAACTGCCCACCCCCAGGAAAACTCTGTCAGGGGCTAGGGAGTGGGGTCAGGGGCTAGGGAGTGGGGTTAAACTTCCCTTCCCCCAAGGATGGAACTGCCCCTCTGCCCTGCTAAACTTACTGCTGCCTGTGACTGTGGACTATAAATCCCAGAGGCACCTGGAAACAGAAAGAGAAAGTAATGAGCAACCCTGAAGAGTCCTGCTGCTGTAATTCTGGACTGAAAATTCCAGAAACCTCAAAGGCAGCAGGAAGAGGAACCGAACAGACAACCCATTCTGGCTACATGCCAGAGAGCCAGGCTCTAGTGCCCCCCGGCTTCCAGTCTGAGCCACTGCAGGTATGTGGCTGCATTTCCTGAATCAAAACTGAATGTCCAATTGTTTCTCAGTTTAATTTGTACAGTTTAGACTAAACTGCAAAGACTGGATCAATTAAGTCTTGGGCTTTTTGACTGGCTGTACTTAGCCTAAAAGTCTATCCACTGTTTTTTGAAAATATGAACATTGAGAAAAATTGAGAAAAATCTCTATAGAATGTAAAAATGTTTCAGTTTGTAGCTGATTAGACTGAAGTATAGGAAGTACAAGCGATGTGTTCAAGGCTACCAATTTAAGAGAGGATGGCTCAGCCTGTGTGACAGCAACTGGTGGATTCTCAGCATGGCCAAGACTGAGGTGCTGATGGTTGGTTGTAGGAAGCAGCCAGAAAAGATCACAGAGGTAGAATTACTTCCTTTGATGAAGGTCCCACAGCTGTCTTTAGTTAGTAGTGTTTGAAATCTGAGGGTTATTTTGGATTTCCAGCTGCTGTTTGGCAACCATATTTGCAGTAATAACCCTGGTAGCTTTATACTATCTGCCTTGGCTGGGAGGTTGGCCCTTTTGGATGGTGCTCAGGTTTATTAACTCCACATTCTGCTGCTGCCATGTGCTATACCCAAAGCAACACCTACAAACTCTTTGGAGGTGGAAACGGATGCAAAATGCAGTGGTTCACTTAGTGAGAGGAGCTTCTTGGTGAAGCATACGTGGCCACAGCTCTGGGATCTCCAATGGCTTCCTGTCGGTAACTAGATGGAGTTGCCAGAGCCATCCTAGGTTGTGAAAGAGCTTTTCTGTATGTGACAGTGTGACAGAAGTGCCACTATTGGAGCCTCTCCGGGTATGGCTCCGCCCTCCTGTAATGGGCCAACCGCCTGCTTACTCGCCTGCCATGCCTTGATCTTATGTAATTAATAGATTGCTGTAATTAGCGGGAGGCTGCCCATTTATATGTGCCCCGATGACAGGGGGCAGTATCTGTGGCTCCTTTTCCTCCCCTACACCTCAGCCCAAGCCTCGCAAATGGTGCTGGTGTAATCTGACTCTGGCTCTGTTATGTCTCGGCCCTCTTTTTGCCCTTGGGGCTCCTCTCCGCCCCTCTGCCCTCTCAGGGCTCCTCTGCCCTCTCGGGGCTCCTCTCCGCCCCTCTGCACTCTCAGGGTCCCTCTGCCACTCTCGGGGCTCCTCGCCGCCCCTCTGCACTCTCGGGGTCCCTCTGCCACTCTTGGGGCTCCTCACTGCCCCTTTGCACTCTCGGGGCTAGGCTAATCCACCCTGCAACAAACTACGCCTTCTTCAGCGCCAGGAACCCCCACGCTACTGGGGGAGTCCCTATGAGGCCTCCTCCACCCCTTATAGCCTCACCTGGTTCTCCGGTTAAACAGTAAACACAAACACAAAGCCCCTGGGCTATAATATAAAGCTAAAACCGTCCTGTCAGAATCCCTACCAGGCAAAATACTCCAGCTCATGGCAGCAACCCGCGGATACTCATGCAGCCAAGCTTTGGCCTTCTCTCCACACTGGCCACCCTCCCTCCTTGGCTGCCAGAGAAGGAACTGCCATCCTGGCCTCCTGCCTGGGTTTGAGAAGGGCTAAGCCCTGCCCCTTCCTGTCAGGGGTTTCGCCAGTTGCCCCAGCAACCAGCACCTGTGCTGCCCTGGTGACTGGCAGCTGCGCCTCCCCCTTCTCACTGCTAGGGGCCTCTCTTGAGCCACCCCTGTTCTCAGGTGCAGGGCACCTAAGTGCTCTGTGACAGACAGGCTGTCAAGTTCCCTTTTTGAATAATATTTTAATTCCCTTGGGGTGATAGGATGATATGCTTCAGGATATCTAAAATTGGTGAATAGATTCCTCTAAATCAAAATAAATAGAACAAATATAATTTATAGCTGAAAACAGAATCAAGGATGTTTGATTCCCCTGTCCTTTACTTCCAAATATTTCTGAGCCTTTCATCTGAAGGTTTTCAGAAGTGGGTGGGCCAAATGGGTTTTGAAACCCATGCTGTTAGAGCAGGAATTAATTAGTAGGCCTGTGCGAAGTGACTAGTATTCGCTTTGGATTCAGATTCAGCTGATTTCGGGGACAGCAATTTGATTTGGTGATTCAAGGAATAACGGTCACAAGCTGGCAGAAGGTAGATTTAGGCTAAATATCAGGAGGCGCTACTTCACTGTCAGGGCGCTAGGATCTGGAACCAACTTCCAAGAGAAGTGGTGCTGGCTCCTACCCTGGGGGTCTTTAAGAGGAGGCAAGATGTACACCTTGCTGGGGTCATTTGACCCCAGTACTCTTTCCTGCCATGGCAGGGGGTCGGACTCGATGATCTGCTCAGGTCCCTTCTGACCCTAGAAACTATGAAACTATGAAATCACTGTCCAGAATCAATTCAGCTGCTGCTGAATCTCTGAATCAGCCAGGCCCCATCCCCCACACACTGTCCGAGCCCAGCAATGGCTGCCCCACCTGCCCCAGCTCCCGGCACTTCAGGGGGAAAAAAAGCCCTGGTGCTCACCGAGTGCTGCTGAATGGGGGGCAATCCCCACTGCCCCATGCTGTGTGGGGGGCTCTACATGAGCCCCCCCCGATCCTGCCCTCACTCCCCCTACCCCCCATGGGTGCCCAACCCGGGCCAGCTCCAGCCCTTTAAGAAA